AAAAAAAAAAAAAAAAAAAATAAAAAAAAAAAAAAAAAAAAAAAAATTTTTTTATTTTTTTTTTTTTTTTTTTTTGGGTAAAGAATTTCGATGAGACCCTGAGGCAAAAGTTGTTCAGTTTATTTGTCTGGATAACATAGTTTGTTTTCAACTTTTTTTTTTTTTTTTTGCTGAGACTTTCCCTTGTCCTTGCAAGGTCGAGCCGTCGGGGAAAATAGGGTGACCAAGGCGGCCCGGCCGGTAGCCTAGGGTTTTTTTTTTTTTTTCGATACTTATTTTTTCATTTTCTTTGTTTTTAAATAAAACAAAACGTCAAAATCCAAAAAACAAAATATAGGGATGTAGGGATTTTAAAACCYTACAAGCCCATGTTTTGTTTTGTTTTTTTCCCTATTTTCCTAGGAATTAAAAATATAGGGGGGTTGAGGCCACAGTCGATCGAACGCAGTCGGCTCTGGTGGTCATGATCCCGACCGCATGCAGTCGGCGGCCCCCTGGTCATGACCGCGGGTGATACATAGGCATGAAGTACGGTAGAGTACAGATTAGTAGAGTACAGTAGAGAAGAGTAGAGCAAAGTAGAGTAGAGTAGTAGAGAGTAGAGTAGAGTAGAGTAAAGTCGAGTCGAGTGGAGTCGAGTAGAGTCGAGTGTAGAAGAGTAGAGTAGAGAAAAGTAGAGCAGAGGGGAGTGGAGTACAGTACAGAAGAGTGGAGTGGAGTGGAGTGGAGTCACTGGAGTGAGGTGGAGTACAATAGAGTAGAGTGAGTAGATAAGAGTATCGTACCATATAGTACAGTTCAATACAGTACAAAAGAGTAGAGTAAAGTAGAGTAGAGTACAAAAAAGTAAAATCAAGCATTGTGAAAGCAAAGACGCTTGGCGCATTGAGTTTGGATGACAATTTTTTTTTTATCTCTCTCTCGCTCGCTCTCGCTCTCTCCCCCCCCCCCTCTCTCTCTCACACACACACACACACACACACACACACACAAAATGTACTTGGACCAGGTAATGGTCCCGATGCATCCAAAGTGCTCCATCATGATTTGTCTGGATGCATTTGGTCCAGAGAACACTCCATGTCCATTTAGAGTGTTCAATAGCAGAGTGAGCCCCTCTCTCCCCCTCTAACACACACACACATGCAAACACACACACTTAAAAAAAAAAAAAAAAGGTTCAAGNAGTGAGCCCCTCTCTCTCTCTCTAACACACACACACATGCAAACACACACACTTAAAAAAAAAAAAAAAAGGTTCAAGTGATTTCGGGGGAGGGCGGGGAGTTTGGAAGCGAGTCGGGCTACACTAAGGAAGAGTAAGGGGTGGGTTTGGAGTTTAGCGGTGTGGAGTTGTGAAGCGAATTCGGGAGATTCACATATGAATGTGAGCGGGGAAATGAGAGTGGGCAAGTCGGGTTGGAATTGGCAAGGTGGAGAGTGAATGTGAACGGTAAATGGGAGGAGGTTCGGGTGATTGTGTGAGGGCGGGCAGCTGAAAGAATGAGTCTGGCTGAAATGAGGAGAGGGGGGAAGTGGGGTTGATAGTGAAGAACGTACGTTTATGATGTGAGAACAGACACGTAGCGAGTGAATGTCGACCGACTTTGGAGGGGAATTTCACTGTTTGGAGAAATGGACTAAGAGTTGGGGAGAGTGGGACTGTAGTGGGGCAAAGCCGCAAGGGAAAGGACGGGAATGGAAAATAAAGCTGTATCTTCAGATTGAAGGGGGGGATAGTTGGAAGAAAAAAGGTTGTGTAGCACAACGAACGTGTCCGCGCCCCTCCGCGTTCGCACGAACGTGTTTGTGTGTTCGCGCGAACAGATTGCAAACGTGTTCGGGCAATTTTATTTTATTTTTTGTAAAAAAAATAAAATTCAAGTTTCTTTTTTTTTCGGTTCTTGATGTTTAACTCACGTTTAGCTAAGAATTTGAACACGACTTCAAAGCGAAAGTTGCTTGTATTGTTGTTTTACATGCTATATATTATTTGCAGATTTTTATGAGACTTGTTTTCTTTTTTAATATTTTTTTTCTGTTCGCGTTCAGGAGGGTTTTGACCGCTAGTTCGCATTCAGGCGAACATGTTCGGATTCGCCTCCGAACGCGAACACGATGCTACGCAGGAAAAAGGTAACTGATAAACAGGTGGTGAATGTAAAGAAAGCAATATAACATAATAATTTATAATTAATCAAGAATAAAAAACACTAACAAGTATTGGCATAGTTAGGTTGGAATTGGTATAGTGAAGAGTGGGCAAGTCGGCTTAGAAATGCCATAGTGAAGAGTGTATGTGGGCGGTAACAGGAGGTTAAGATGATTATGTTAGGGCGGGAAGCTGAGAGAATGGGTCGGGCTAAAAAGGGGAGAGGGGAAAGATGGCTTTGGTAGTGAAAAACTTAGATTTTTGATGTGAGGGCCGACAGGTAGCAGAGTGAATGTGGACGGACTTAGGAGTGCGATAAAATGGAAAGGAACAGAGAGAAAAAAAGAAACAAACATAAAATCTATCTGGATCTGGTAATGGTCCAGATGCATCCAAAGTGTTCCATCGGTCCGGATGCATTTGGTCCAAGGACTGATCCCATACATGTAGAGTGCTCAGTAGCAGAGCATACCTTTTTTTCTCCTTTTTTTAACACGCAGAACAAACCTTTGTGTGTGTGTGTGTTACGTGTGAGCAATGATAGGATGTACTCTTTTGTTTTTTTGCGAAGCTTAAACATGTTATTGCAAAGTCGACTGCAATCAGACTCGAACCTTTGACTCTTTTCATGCACGTGAACAGTAGCACGACAAATTGGCAACATGCACCCACACAGTACATATAGATATGGCTTCCAGGTAAGTTCGCTTCCTCTGGCTATGGCGACTGAGTGCCCAACATCCACTTTTCACACACTGGTTCACCCTGGATATCCCACACACGATACTCTGTACACGCACATAACACACACAGACACCACAACAGCTACGGCAGCGCTAGCTGCCACTACCCTATCGCTATTCTACACTTCTCTGCCCACTTCGACTTCGGGCACACTGCAGACCTCCTCGCACAAGACGCCGAGGCAGCGCTTCCGCATGGCTTCCGTAGGAATGAATGAATGGCTGGGCGCGACCTCTTGATTTATACTTTTGTGATGCGTTGGTCTGCCCTGTAACCCTGGGCCCTCGGTGCACACAGTGCCAGACGGTACTTGCTGGACAGGACCGGACTGACTGGACTGGGACTAATGACTCAGCGTGGTGGACCTACACCACTTGACCACTTGCCTTTACCGAAACAGGGCCCGACTCCGAAAGGCCACTTTTAGAAACCTCTACTTTGGCCTTTCGGGACTGTAGCAGCTACGACTCTGCCCTTTCAGGTAAGTAGCAGCTTCGACTTTGACTCTTCGGACAATCTACAGCTACGACCTTTGGACTGTCTAGACTTCTACCCGACAGGTCTACAGTTCGAATCCCCTATGCCGTGTAACCTACGAGATCCTACCTACCACTGGCGGTCCTACAGGTTGCAGGTTCAAATCTACGGGTTGACACAATTACTGTACACAGGTAAGGTGGGGAACTAGGGATCGAGCCCTGGGATCTGCATCAACTGCGAAGTGGTGAATACCGTTTCACTCCCGCCGGCCTAAATTCGAGGTCGTCCGAGAAAATTTCAGTCCAAGGCAGGACCTTTACCTTTCTGTTGCCTCTCGTAGGCGCGGACTATATCGGGAGTTGTCTCTAGAAGTTCAGATCTCGTAAACCAGCGGTCGTCTTCCGGCTTTTGATAACTAAAATGAACCTTGTATTGTTTTTGTGGACGACCTCTACCTCCAACCCTGAATACATCTTCAGCCACTATGCCATCGATGTCATACCTTCCATCCATATCTGGTGGAATCGTAGACCTACGGGATGGAAACTGATCACTTGTTTGACAAGGTAGCAACTTCGATGCGTGGAAAACTGGGTAAGTGTGGAGATGTGCTGGGATTTCTATGTTATAGGACGGTCCATCTTTGCCGCCCTTGACTTCTAGAACCGGCCACGGTCCTCTATACGTAGGCAGTAACTTCTGCGAAATGTTCTCTTCAGGCGCAAACTCTTTAGACAGGACCCAAACCAAGTCGCCTACTTGGAACTGGGAAGGGCGACGGTGCTTGTTCACCTTTTCGATCATGAGGTGCTGGGCCTTCCTGAGATTCTCAACAACAGTTGCTATCTCCTTCTCGTGCTGAATCACAAACTCCCTCGTACTGGGCGGTAGCCTATGGATCTGATCCTGGTTAAGTCCCTCGAATGGTCTTCGTGGTCTAAAGGACTTATGGAGCTCATTGGGAGTGCGGCAGGTTGACAAGTGCAGGCTGTTGTTGTATGGGCTCGCTACCTTGGGAAACATCTCATCCCAATTGACTTGATCAGGTCTAATGTACATGCGCAAGACTTGCTGCAGGATCTTGTTCATCTGTTCAGTCTGACCGTTCGTCTCTGGATGACGGCGAGATGACATGAACAACTTGGATCCGTAGACTCGCATCAACTCCTGCCAGTTTAGACTCGTGAACCGGGTATCTCTATCGCTAACTATAGACAGCGGAACCCCGTGTTCACTGACCCAGTGATCAAAGAATTTCTGAATTACTAATTCTGTTCTGGCTTCTGATGGCAAGGGAACAAAAATAGCATACTTACTAAATCTGTCTACCACGACCATAACTTGGCTCTTGCCATGCCTACTTTTAACGCCGGTGTCCATGAAATCAATGGACACCGAATCTCCCGGATGATCAGGGATAGGTAAAGGTCCGAGAAGACCTAAAGGGGCACGCGTAGTTGACTTATTCCTCCGACAGACTTTACAACTGTGAACATACTCTATGCAGTCATTTTTCATTCTTGGCCAGGTGTACGCGTGCATCAGGTTGGCTAAGGTCTTTTGCCAACCAAAGTGTCCTTCGGTGTCGTGACATTCCCCCAAGATCAGACTCCGGATCTCCTCACTGTTGGGGACGCACAAACGGTCTGCTATATTAGTCTTCTCAAACAACAACCCATCAGTAGTGCGTTAGTATGGCTCGAACTCTGGGGCTTCCTTAACTCTCTTAAGGAACTCACTATAGATGGGGTCCTGCGCGTACGCCTCTTTAACTTTCTGTTGTAGGTCTGACCTTATATCTAGGTAATGGACTATGGCCCCAAAGTAATCAGCTCTTCTACTCAGAGCGTCCGCAACTACGTTATATTTCCCTTTGACTGCCTTGAGCTCCAAGTCATACTGGTCTATCTCTGCGGCCCACCTAGTAAGCTTAGGTGTCATCTTGGCCTGCGTCTTTAACCATCGCAATGCCTCGTGGTCAGAATAGACTTTGAAGTGCCTCCCAAGCAAGTAATGCTTCCAGTGTTCTAATGCTTGCCTGAGAGCGTAGAGTTCCCTCTCATAGGTGGATGTTACAACCTTCTCTGAAGGCATCCTAGCGGACATGAACTCTGCGGGCTTATAACCATTGCCATCGTTTCGCTGCAACACAGCACCTATGCCGTACTGACTAGCGTCCGTAGTAACGACAAAGGGCAAGGACGGATCGGCTACCTTAAGGACTGGGTACTCTATTAATGCGTGCTTTAACTTCTTTATGGCAGACGTGCAGTCCTTATCCCACTCCCAGATGGCCTCCTTCCTGAGCAGTCTGCGAAGGGGCGCAGCGATAGTGGAGAAGTTCCTCACGAACTTCCTATAGTAGTTAGCTAAGCCCAAGAATGACCGCAACTCTGTTAGCATACGCGGCGTGGGCCAATCTCTAATCGCTGCAATTTTGCCGTCTTTTGGCTTAACGCCGTCTCCGTTTAAGACGTGGCCTAGATATAAGACTTGGGTTTTCGCCCAATCGCACTTCTTTGCATTGATCTTGAAGTTTGCTTCTCTCAGCTTCTCCAAGACCTGCCTGAGATGACCCTGATGTTCTTGGAGGGTCTTGCTAAACACTAAGATGTCATCTAAGTAGACAACAACAAATCGATCTAACCATGGCCTAAACAAATCATTCATACAACGCTGGAACGTCGCTGGCTCATTGGTTAGTCCAAAGGGCATCACTATGAACTCATAGTGCCCATATCTAGTCCGAAAGACTGTCTTATACTGATCATCAAGATGCACCTCTATCTGATGATATCCGGACTTTAAATCTATCTTTGAGAAGTACTTCGCCCCCTGCACTCGATCCAAGAAATCGTCTATCCTAGGCAGTGGCTCATCATTCTTCACTCTAACAACATTCAGGCCCCTATAGTCTATACACATCCTCTGCTCTCCCTCTTTCTCAGGGACAAAGAGAACAGGCGCTCCAAATGGAGATGAACTGGGCCTAATCCAACCCTTCTCAAGGAGCTCGTCTAGTTGCTTACGAAGCTCCTCTAACTCCCGCGGGGACATCCTGTACACCGCACCCTTAGGAGTTCTACTGCTAGACTCTATCTCAATGCGATGCTGGATGGGCCGCGGTACTACTCCTGTCGGCGGCTCCGCTAGATCTTTAAACTCCTCTAGCAGCTTGGCAATAGCAGGGTCTATAGGCTTCTCTTCCTTAGGCTCAGTCACTGGCCTAACATAGGCTACAAAGACCTGTTCTTCCAGGTGCTCCTTCTTCACGAATCTCGCGAATGGAGGTGCACTAAGGCAGCAATGTGCCAGGGGATTCTCTACTCCTGACACATGGAACATGCGGGCAGTCTTAGCCTCGCCTGAAGGACTAGGGAGCTTACACTCGTGCTCTTTCAAATGGAGTGTGGCCCCGGCTGCCCCTTCCCAATCCATTCCCAGGACAATATCAAATGGGAGGTTGTCTTCTACGAGGAGAGTAAGGGAGTGGAGGACCTTCTCCACTTTCCCATCTTTCTCTAGGCGGAAATACGCCTGGACTCCCTCTACATCATCCTCTACAATCATTGTACAGTTGTCTGCGAGGATACTAACTATAGGGTCTGCTAGCTTTTGGACCTTAAGTCCCAACTTCAACTTCTGCAGCGCTTTTCTACTAATATAGCTGCGGGTAGCCCCTGAATCTACTAGGGGCTCTACTCTACCTCTAAAAGTCTCTACATCTACCAATAGTAGCTACCCCTTCTGTTCTTTCTTCATCTTGGCCCAGGCGGGCATCCTCTCCTTCAATTCTTTAGCCATGCCTGTGAGGGAGGTGTCTGAAGAGACCCTGACATAAGCAGTCTCTGGACAACTAGCTAGACACCGGCCTGCAACCTCTGCCATGGGCACATGTGGTGTGGGAGTCTCCTGCCGGCTAGCGCTATGTTCCCCACATGACCTTGTGGTAGGGGCAGTTGCCACCCCTACTGGCGGCTGCCTTTTGGCCCTTGAGCAGCCGTCCGGGTCTCTCTATACTTAGGACAATATTTAATGATATGGCCCGGGTCACCGCAGAAAATGCACTGGCCCCGGTCCTGACGCTGTTGCCATAAGCTCTGGTCCAGACCCAAACTTTTCCAAGGCCTACCCTGGGGTAGCCCTGGGTGCCATCCACCTACCCTATAGGGAGACCTATTCCTAGGACGGTTTTGCGGGGGACCTTGACCCCTTCCTCCCGCTTGGCGGTTTCCTCCTCTGCCGCCAACCCCTTGATCGCCCTGAAACCGGCTCCTTGAGGCCCGGCCCCCTTGGCCCTGGCCTCGTCCTCCTCCTTGCGGCCTCCCTCCAGCCGCGACAACAGCGTAAGTTCTCCCCTGACTCGCACCGTTGTCCTCGTCCTCTAACCCCCATTCAATCTGTTCATAGGGGATCTCGTCAACGCTACCTTCGTCTAAGGTCAGGACAAGAGTATCCTTAATCTTAACTTGCCCTGAGATCGTGCGACCTTTCCATTGCTTTCCTTTGTCAAGGTATTTGTGCCAGAAGGTAGAAAGCGACACCGACTTCGCTTTGAAAGCCACCACTTCACGGCTAAGAGAATCATAAGTGGTGGCAGGGTCTTCACTTTTCGCGAAGAACTGCCCTCAAAAAGCTTCGGGCATGGCCCGACAGAACAGGCCGACCAATCGGGCCTCCGTGACTCCGTGGTCAGGGACAGCCACTAACTCATCCATCGTGCCCTTGAGCGCCCTGACACTCTTTCATTTACGAGCATGGATGGTTTGGAGCTTATCGGAGGTCTTGACAGTGCGAGCGACATCAGCGAATCGCTCGCGCAACAATTTCATGAAGTCAACGAGGGGAGTGAATGACGAGTATGCCACTGCATCATTGTTACAGTTGGCCGCGCGGACTAGGGACCTTGCGAAACTGGCGGCCTCGTCTCTAAGCGCATGAATCGCAATCAATACGTGCTGATCTGGGGAGACCTGTTGCAAATGCACATAGGTCTTAACGTTGGCCTCCCAGTTGTCAAAGTTCTCTTCCCTTTTTCCACTGTAGGAATCAGGGAATTTGACTTTGACCGGCCCCCTACGAGGACACACTTCTTCCTCCTTGGGAGCTGCCACCTTGACGCCCTCGATGGCGCCCACGCTGTCAGCGTGAATACCCTTACGAGGGTATCCGCCCTGGATTGTTGCAAGTGGCAGAAAGTAGGGTAACCGTTGGGTTGTGAGTACACTGCACAAGTTGCGGTGGTGTTTGATTCGCGTTGAGTGAATGGTTGACGGGAAGTAGAGAGTATGTGGGCGCGCAACTTTGAGGCGCGAGTGATGATTTTTTCCTTGATGCTATAAGGTCGGCGTTTCCGCGGGCAAAAATTTCGGCTTTGGTTAAAACTAGGGAAAAGTTGTTCCTTTATTGAAATGACCATGGTACATCTGCGTTCATACGGCATGCGTCATCGGGAGTGGCGTTGCTTTGAGCAGTAATTGGGGTGTGCTAGAGAAAGAGGAACGCAAGCGGTGACCTCCGCGTGCTAGGTGCGGGAGGTTGACGGTCGTGGACGAAGCCAGGCCCTATGGCTGGCAGTTGCTGAGGTCGCATAGTGTGCAACACACTAAGGTGACGGGGTATTACCGGTGTTTGGACTCGTTAGAGAGATCTGAGGGAGGAAGTGCGAGTAGGATTTGGTAGGAGCAACAGCCGGGTTCTTGGCAAAGGGGCGATGACGGGGCGGTTGCGGTAGGCCGTAAGAGCGTTGGCCCGCGGCCGCGGCATGGTGAGGCGGCACGTATGGTGAGCCAAGCGGAGCCTTACCCCCGAGGCAGCCAGCACGACATTGCGTGGCCTAAGGCGCAGGCACTAGATCAACCGATGGCCCAGGGTACGCTGCTGCAGGCCGGCCTAGCGGAAACTACTGTTCATAGGGAAGTTGGCTTGGAGTTATGCTAGGCTGGGGCTTAGCCCTATAGGCTATGTTACTAAACTATCACTAGGCAGATGTAGGGATCGAGGCCAGCAGCAAGCAGCAGAGCAGTGGAGGAGGACTTTGGAGCACATCAAGGGGTTGAGGCTNGAGGCCAGCAGCAAGCAGCAGAGCAGTGGAGGAGGACTTTGGAGCACATCAAGGGGTTGAGGCTTAGCCCTATAGGCTGAGGCCAGCAGCAAGCAGCAGAGCAGTGGAGGAGGACTTTGGAGCACATCAAGGGGTTTAGGCTTAGCCCTATAGGCTGAGGCCAGCAGCAAGCAGCAGAGCAGTGGAGGAGGACTTTGGAGCACATCAAGGGGTTGAGGCTTAGCCCTATAGGCTNACTAAACTATCACTAGGCAGATGTAGGGATCGAGGCCAGCAGCAAGCAGCAGAGCAGTGGAGGAGGACTTTGGAGCACATCAAGGGGTTGAGGCTCCTGTGAGCCTATTCCCTTTGGTTTTGCAAAAGGGGGGCAGCTGCGGGCCCGTGAGAAAGGGCCCAGTGTCAACGGTCCTTTCCCGCATCTGTTTTTCGTTATTAGTTTTTATCTCTGAGTTTTTCTTTAGTTTTATTTTTTATTTTTTATTTTTATTTTTTATTTTTCCTAACTTTTTCTCCATCTGGGACGAGACCCGGTACCGGTGCCGGAACCGGCAGTGAAACTTAGCTGCCTAGTTCTGTGGACACACCACGAACTGCGGGGCACTGCTATCGGGGACAGTCCTTCGGGACATCCGTTAAAATTGGAATGATACAGAGCAGATGAGCATGGTCCCTACGTATGGGATGACCCGCAGCCATGGGCAAGCAAAGTCGAGTGATGCAGCCCGGGCTATAAAGCCTCTCAGCCCATAGAGGGCTGGGCTGCTAATTCATACGGAGACCAGGCGTAGAGGCGCTGGGTGAGCAGTTGGGAAGGGCTGGGGCGCTGTGCTGATCGGCAGGAGCAGAGAAGGGGGTGTACCCGGACGGGTAACAGCGCCGGGCGCAGACGAAAGTGAAGGAGGAGATGGCGGGGCAAACAGGCAGGCTACGCTGAACGGTCCAACTAAGTGTCGCAGCAGATACGGGAAGTGAAGGAGTGGCGAAAAGAAAGAAAAAAAAAAAAAAAAAGAGGGATGAACGGAGACGACGGGGTGTGCCGGGTGCAGGCTAACGAAGACGGAGATGGCGGGTTGAGAACTCGGGCGACAGCACGGGAAGTAGGCAGCATGTTGACGTTCTCCATAGCAGGGGATGCTGATGTGGCGCTACCACAGGTCTCCACAGGATGCTGATGTGACCTTAATCTCTGGACTGTGTTGATGACGTGGCTTTGCCCCCACTGTCTACTTGAGGAGATTGGTTGTGAGGGGAAGAAAAGGAGAATGAGAGGAAGGGTGAGAGTGAGTACGAGAGGGTAGGGGCGCGAGACAGTGTGAGCACGCGGAAGGATGAGCGCGCTCGGAAGAGAAGAAGAAGGGAGTAACGAGCTGAAAAAAAAAAAAAAAAAAAAAAGGGACTGGATCTGGACATGGGCGTGCGCCACGTGCATTCGAAACAGATATTGAAGATGGCGTGTGAGTAGAAGGAGAGTAATCGGCCGTTTCTCAACCGATTTCGACGAGAAAAGAAGATGAGTTGAGGTTTTTGGGGTGGGCGACCCCGAATCCGCAGTTAGATTAGGAGGAAAATCAGCAGAAGAAGGAGTAATAGAAAAACGGGGTGCGCGGGTGACACGGGAGAGTGAAAATGGCGGGGAAGAGAGACTGCTATCTCACCCGTTTCTTGACGGAAACAGGCGAGTGAAGAGGCGTTCCTCAGGGTTTTGTGTGCTKCGAGGTGATTGGTGGACTCAGATCCTTGATTCAGGGGATGGCCTGGCCGCTACACAGTGCGAAGTCTGCGCAGGGGAAAACAGAAAAGTATCTTCCCAGACAGAAAAGTATCTTTCCCGCGTTCTAACGGGAAGCCCATTTATATATATATATATATATATATATATATATATATATATATTTACTCACTATGACGACCGAGCGACAGCCAACGAGGCACAAGGCAAGGGAGGACAGAAGAACGAGGGGAGACTTACCTGTTGACGAGGGGAGGGGCCCACCTACCTGCCATACGGCTCTGAGATCCTCGTCGTTGTGATGCCGCTGCGCTCGTCATCGGGCCAGCTCGTGGTCGCCGTCTGCAGCCGACATCCCGCCCCCAATAGCGAGATGCTCGAAGGGGGTGGTAGCGGCGGGATGCATCGGTGTTCCTGAGGGCAGATTCAACCTTTCTGCAGCGGGTGTATCTGGCCGTAGTCTAGCGGAAGATTCAGTCCAAATTTTGCCCAGCGCACTCCCAGTGACGTTGGCAGTGGGCCACGTACCTGATTATGATGGGGGTCGATGTATTTTCCTATGTTCTGGAGGAAGTACATTGTCAGTTTGCACAAGAGATCATTGTGCTGTTGTGCAAGATCCTGTTGTTCCCCTATATTATCGAGCTCTACTTCTTCGCGGGGTGAAATTTTTTCTTTTTTCTGTTCGTAGTTGCAAAGGGCTCGCGTTACTCCTTACAATCAGAATAGTGACTCCCACGTTCCTACCGTCGTTGCTAAGCGTAGTCATGTTTTTATTATTATTATTATTATTTTTTTATCGTGATTCTTCGCCACGGTTGGCCGTAGTCCTTGTACCGGTAGGAGTGTCCTCGATTGCCACGGTAATGATAGGCATGCA